AATTTAACTACGATAGTCCGGATAAAATTTTAATTTTTTAATATGAATCCATTAGAGAACAATATTTTCTCTATTTAAGATGATATATCGTTCATAATGACGTGTTCGACTTCAAAATTAAGATTCTAAAAATCAAAATTTTCCAAAGAAAATATAATCACAAATGCTTTGCAATTTTCAGCAAAGCTTGCAAACAGCTATAAAAAAAGTTCATCCTCATCAGATAAGAATTTTTAATTATTTGAATACCAAACTCATCAATAGAATCCTTGAGCTCAATGTCTTTATCAATCTCATCCAATTTAGATGAAAAATCATGCACAGAGCAAGCTCCCATTCCAGAATTCATAATGTTAAATCAATCATCATAATATTAAATCAATCATATAGAAACTTTTGAGTAGTTTTCACTTATGCCCTTTTGAGTCGTTTGAAGGGTGTTTTATTACATTATAAGTGCTCTTCAATCCTTTTCCTTGAAACTTGAGAATTGATGCCTTATTGTTTCCTTTTTAAGTGTAAGGTAAGGGAAAGGACATATATGATTCGAGGAGAGCTAGAGGACTGCTGGCTTTGGAAAATAGATAATTGCTTGTAATTCTCTTCTTTTTTTAGTTCTTTAATTGAATTAATTCATTTTTCTAAATCAATTTCATATTCAATAATTTCCTAATTTTTATTTGTTCAGTTTGTTTAGTAAAATTTTTTCAGCATCCGGACGTCTTCCTTGTGTAGGGGGAATCTATAGGGATTGTAGGCCAACACACCTTTATTGATGTGGTAGGAAGATGTATAGACCTAGAATCCCTATATGTTTCCATTACATGGGGGAGACGGCATGATGCTGCCAAAATTTTGAATGAATAAACTGAATAAACAAATTGAGAAATTATTGAAGATGAATTTGATTTTAAGAAAAGGAATGAAATAAATTAAAGAACTAAAAAAAAGAAGAAGAAAAACAATTAAATTACAAGCAATAATCCATTTTCCTAAACCAGCAGTTCTTTAGCTCTTCTCCAATCATATATTTCCTTTCCCTTTCTTTACACTTTCACTAAAAAGGAAACAAAAGGGCAACAATTCTCAAGTTCCAAGGATAGAGCTCTAAATCATTTTCATGATTCTTTAGGTTACTCCACCACCCCTTTATGGTGTCTAGCTTATTATTATGTTTATAATAGTAAAATAGAACCACGACCAAACCATCTAAGGACAATATATCGATGTTTAAGAGTTTAACTTCTTTTTATTTAAGGGACTTTGCAATCTCCTCCCACTTTAATTGAGATTCTCGTCAGTATATTTATTCCAGGATCATCCACTAGGTAAATAAATTCTAGAGGTTGCCCCTACAAGTTCAAATGATGACTCTCACCACGTAGCACTTATCCCATACGGAGTTTATGAGGTGGCTCTTATGGAGTAACACTTTATCTTGTATGACACTTAATTCCCATCTTCCGGATGGTGTATTTCTATGATACCATTTATAATAACCCAAACTCTTAACTATCGAGATATTGTCGGCTTTGACTTAAGGGCCTCACAATTTTGTGTTGTTGGTGTAACTTTCCAGGAGGTCACCCATCCCAGAATTTCTCCGAGATGAGCACGCTTAATTACGGAATTTCTTAATAAAATTTTAACCATTACACTAAAAGGAGCCTCGATATTGAAGAGTTTAGATTCTTTTTACTTAAGGGCTTCACAATCTCCCTCATTTAAGTAATTGACGTCTTTGTTAGTATCTTTATCTTAAAATCATCCACCAGGTAGATAGGATTCTAGAGATGCCCCCTACAAGTTTAAGTGATGACTTCAATCATGTAGCACTTTGTTTCATAAAAGGTTCAAAAGGTGGCTCCCATGACATAACACTCTATCTTGTATGACAGTTAGGATCCATCATCTGGCTGTGTATTGCTCTGATACAATTTGTAACAATCCAAACTCTTAACTATCAAGATATTATATGTTTTTGGCCTAAGAGTCTCATAAGTCTTGTCCAGTTAGTGTAACTTTTCAGTAGGTTACCCATTCTAGGATTTCTATGGGATAAGGATGCTTAACATTGAAGTTTCTTAATAAAATTCTAACAATTATACCAAAAGGTATCTTAATGTTTAAGAGTTAAACTTCTTTTTACTTCAGAGGCTTCACAGTCGGGTGGTGGTCCAACAACAGTGGTCATGTGGTGATCCAAGAATGACGGTCGTGCAGTGGTTCTTGGGAAGAGCTCTGAGATTCTTCAAGCTTCTGAGCTATCTCAATTCTCAAGCTAGGGTGAATAGAGAGTGGTTTGGATGGACGACCGATGTTGAATCCCTTGATCGTGGACCGCTCGATTGACATTTAGGCCTTAATGATGTCAGAATTCCACGATCTTGGTCTCGTTGTATTCGTCTCGTCGAGCCGCTCGATTTGACTATAAGCATGTCACATTTGGAGACTATTTGACAATCCAAATTGTGGTTTGAACCTTCCAACGGTACTTTAGGTCTTTGTTTTGGATGCATTTGGGCTCGGATTGGGTCGAATTTGGTGTCGTTGGGTTCGTATTTTTGAGACGTCCAGTTCGAATGGTCCTAATTTTAATTTTGAAAGTTTCCTACTTAATTTTGCCTCGAAATTCTTGCCCTATCAAGATAATTTTTTCATGATATATAAACACTACTATTTATATAATAATTAATTTAATTTTATCTTAATACATTCAGATTCAGCCAAACTCCCTGCCTCGATTTGCTGATCTCCCATACGTTGATTCGCCGCCCCGACCTAGTGCAAGCCGAAGACGACAAATTTTTGACAAAATTTTTATTTTTCACACAAATTGTTAAACATTTTAATGATGTTTTTTCCCTTAACATGTACAACATCAGATCATTTAGCCATTCTTCAGTTCTATTATTTAAATTAACCTAAGATCTCGCACCTTCCCATTATTATTATTATTATTATTTATTTCTTAATTGTCAGTTTGTTTTAACTTTTTATTTAATAAATGAGTGAGTATAGCAATTTGATTAATTTTTTATTGGAAAGAAAATTATCATTATCTTTACCAGCTTTATAATTTTAGTAATACGGGAAATCTACAAAACACAAAACTAGACAACTTTTTTTAAAAAAAAAAAAAAAACAGAACCAAATATATTAAAAAAAAAGAACAGAATCATAGAAGCGCAATTTTCTTTTGAATGTTTTATGCATGGATTCATTATGGTCATCTCAATGAATTTGGGCTTCACTCTTTTGTTTTGATGATGTGCTTCTCTTTTCATTGTTAAAGTTTTTTAAAATTTTACTGTTGATTTGGAATTCTTTTTAAATCAAAATCAGCCTTGATTTGAAAGGCTTTAACTACTCAATGATGTAATTAATTATGGAGTTGATTATTCCATATTATTCTTCAATATAGTGAAATCATTATTCCCTCCCGATAGATATAGGTATCTTCATCAAATCATGTAATTCACTGTCTTCTTTGTAATTAATTGTGTTGTGTGATATATGATTTTTTATTTTCACTGTGACTGTCTACTCAACATTTAATGTCTTGATTATGTCATAATTAGATGATCTTACACTCATAATTAGATTTCTATGATCATTAAAAAAACCTTATTCTCTCATCATAAATTCTTTTATGATGTTTCATAAATATAGACGTATACATTGGTGCAAAAATCTTGCTTGCAGGAGGAACTTAGCCTCCATAGCTACTTAGTATGGTAGTACCCTTGCAATAGTAATATCCAAATTATTATTGTCCCTTACTCATTATTTATACAATTTAAGTTGGTATATTAACTTTAATGGATTTTAATATAATGATGTTTACTTAGCAATGACATCTATGAGGCAAGCATAAAATAGAAAGCATGAAAAAATATTATAAATAAAAAACAGCCTCATGAAATTATAATAAAATTAACTTGAAAAATAAAATGAAAAAAAAATCTAAACCCTTGAAAATTAGGAACTATAAAAAAGACCTAATTAGTCTAAACCTAGAATGATATGTTGATAAAGATGTACATATATATAGACAATCAAATAGAGTAATAAGGAAAAAAATACAACGAATAAAAATATTCTTAATAATTATGATATATTTAATAATTAATTTTTACTATAAATATTATACACATGTTCTAACATTTATATGATAATGAATCATTTGAACACCAAAGAAACAAGAAAAATCATTAATGTAACAGAGAATATGAAGAGTTATTAAGAGGATATAAAGAGTTATTAAGAGGAAAAATTATTTTGTGCGGACATTGTACGTCGTCGGAGATCAATCAAAATATGTCATGTCACCTATTCGCTCGGTACCGCTGACGCGGCTGCACATGATTCGCCTCTAGACGTAGAGCTTCGTCCGACATCCGCACAAATTAATTTCTCTCAAGAAATAAAAAGATATAGAGAAAGAGAATATGAAGATGAGTAGGAAGTATAAGAGACGCAAAATAGGAAATATGTACGAGTATTTAATGAATTAAGACTATCATAAAATGTAATAATAAGAGTATGACATATGAAGAGGATAATACAAATTGATATTTACTTAATATGAAAGAAGACTAAGAAATATTAGGAAATTCAAAGTATTTTTTATTTGTTTAAATAAAAAATAGTCATATTTAATTATTTTTAAACTGATAAATTAATTATAATAAGTTAATATAATTAGAATTTAATATTCTATTCGAATAATTAAAATGAAAGATTAGAATTTTATTTGAGAAAAAATTTAAATCATTTTTATAATAATAATATAGACATAGATAAAATCCCCAAAATTTCAAACAGTATTAGTTAAGTGGGGAGATTTCAATAATAAATATGACCGTGACGAGATCGAGGTCGACTTTGGGGATTTTTTTTTTTCTTTCCTTGCAAAGTATGGATCATAAAAATAATACAAAATAACCAGTGGTTGGTTGTCTGCGCTATTTCATTTTCTCCTCTGCTCCCCAGCAAGCGGAAATGCGGAATTGCTCATTGAGACTTGAGAGCTCATAACGATGCTGCGCAATGCCCGGTTCCAGCTTCTCACTTCACTGAGGCCACAGGTTCTTTATTCTTCCACCGCATCCTACATACTCATCGAATCTGTAAGATTTCTCCTTTAGATTTTGCTTATTTATTATGTCTTCTTCTTCTTCTGCAACGCTATCAGTTCGATCTGAGATACGCAGAGCATATTTGTCCGTCGGCCGTAGACCCCAAAAGAAGATGTTTTGTTAGGCTTTTTAGGTGATTTTCATTTCATACATTTGAGATATCAATTGTTTATATTTGTATATCCTCTCCCCTTAATTTCTCGTCAGATTCAGTACTCGTCTGAGCGGAGCTTGGAGGGAAGTGATCGGAATAGATTTCGGAACTACCAACTGTCGTGTGGCTGTCATGGAGAAGGATGTAAGCTATTGCTCGATACCATAATATTACAACAACAACAAAAAAAAAAAAAAACTTTTTTGACTAATTAAAGTTTGTCGATCGGCAGGGAAATCCTAAAATGATTGAGCTTTCTGATCGAAAAATATGCATGCCATCAGTGGTTTCTTTCGATCAAAATGGGAAAACAATTGTTGGAGCTCATCCAAAAGATGCCATCTCAGATAAAACTGTAATTGGGATCAAGAGATTGATTGGCCGTTCATATGATGAAGATGCCATGGAATTACAGAAGCTGAAGAAAATGATTCCTTATGAGATAATCCCACCAGATTCTGAAGAAGAAGAAGAAGAAGAAGCTTGGATCAAATTAACCAATGGGAAAAAGTACTCCCCCGCCTATATAGCTTCCCTTATCATTGGCAGATTGATTGATGAAACTGCTAAATGCCGCGGAAACACATATGCTTCACATGCAGTAATTGCCGTACCTCCATTCTTCGATCAAGATCGAACTTTTGCTTTAAGAGGAGCAGCAGAACGCCATTCGCCATGCGTGGATGTAATTGATGAGTCGCTCGCTGCTTCACTTTACTACTTGACAAAGACGAACAGACAAAAAGGTTGCTTTGCTGTAATAGATCTCGGTGGAGGAAGCTTTGATATCTCCATTGTTAATGCCTCAAATGGCTTATCCGGGCCTGATATGAAGACAATAGCTACAAAACATGTTGATTCAGTAACCGGCGTCGACTTAGACCATGCGATAATGGAATTATTGTTGAGGAGATTGGAGCAGGAAACAGGGGAGAAAATCCATAAGCTTGGTCTCTCTGCTCACTCATCAGTTGTTCGGAGAGAAGCCGAGAGAGCAAAGATCGAATTTTTTTCCTCATCGGCGCTTCATAGCAGGATCAACCTGGCTGTTAGATGTGTACAAGGAATTAGCGAGCAGCTTGAAATTTGTTTGGAAAGATCTGAATTTGAGGACTCCATGAAAGAGGCGATCTTGAAGGTGAAAGATTTGTGCTGGATCTGTTTAAAGGAGGCAAATATGAAACCAAAACAAGTGGATGAGATTATTCTTGTGGGTGGTATGAGCAGAGTTCCGAGAGTTTGGGAAATAGTTGAAGAGATATTTGGGAAGAGACCGAGCGAGGAGGTGAATCCGGATGAAGCTGTGGCTTTGGGAGCTGCAATTAAGGCTAATCTTATTGCAAATAAAAACGAAAATCTTGTAAGTTATTCATTGTAACAATTTTTCTAAGTAATTTCTTAACGCCGTTAATGGTGCTAAGAAATTATTAGGAGAAATTTTTAGCAGATTTTGCTAATGACTGTAGAAGTTGTTTGGGGAAGATTGTAATTTTGTAATTTGCAGTCACGATTAATGGAAACTATTTGGTTAACTTAGACCACATAATTGTCAAATACATTCAATTGAGCTATTCTGTTAGTATCTTAACTCTTGAGTTAGGACATTTGACTCTAATTTGATCAACTTAGAGCTTTTTTTTTATTAGCTGTGTCCAATAAGTTATCCCACACATGTGCCCCCGCTAAAAAAACGTACAAAGGTATATTATTAAAAAGTTTTAGCAGTGAAATTATTGTAAAAAATTGGATAAAATATTTTATTGACCTCTTTAGCAGAACTTATTGTAAAAAATATAACAAATCAATTAAATTTATATTGTATTAATTTCAAACTAAATTAATTAAATTTAAAATTGATCTCTTTAGCAAAACTTTTTAATCTATCTTTTCCTAATTATCTTCTATATAACAACAATCTAATCATATTATTGTTGCGTCCTGGAGTATTCGCTGCGGTAGAGAATTATAATGTTTAGCATCTTAGCGTTGTACGAAGATTCAGAACACAATCAGATAAGAGAGAGGGTGTAGTGGTTATAAGAGACACCAGAGTTTTTACGTGGAAACCCCTTAAAAGGGGGAAAAATCACGGGGCCTGGCCTAATTTGAATGAATCCACTAGTATTTGTAGTCGATTACAAATGAGGCCTTTTCTTGGGAGAAGGCCTTGGCTTTGATGATACAAATGTAAATCATATAGAGCGCATTACATGGTGGGAGTTACAATATAGACATGTTTGTTTGGTCGGCACGATCATAATCGATAGGATCGAGGTTGGAAGGACCATAGTAGGTGACGGAGGTCGGAAGGAGATCGGGGTCAGAAAGTTCGTTGTTTGTTGATGGAGGTCGGAAGGACCATAGTAGGCGACGGAGGTCAGAAAGACCGTAGTCGACAGGAGATCGGGGTCAGAAAGACTGTTGTCTATTGATGGAGGTCGGAAGGACCATAGTAGGCGACGGAGGTCAGAAGGACCGTAGTCGGTAGGAGACTAGGGTCAGAAATACTGTTGTCTGTTGATGGAGGTTGGAAGGACCATAGTAGGCGACGAAGGTCAGAAGGACCGTAGTTGGCAGGAGACCGGGGTCAGAAAAACCGTTGTCTATTGATGGAGGTCGGAAGGACCATAGTCGGCGACGGAGGTCAGAATGACCATAGTCGGCAGGAGACCAGGGTCAGAAAGATTGTTGTCTGTTGATAGAGGTTGGAAGGACCATAGTAGGCGACGGAGGTCAGAAAGACCGTAGTCGGTAGGAGATCGGGGTTAGAAAGATCGTTGTCTGTTGATAGAGGTCGGAAGAACTATAGTAGGCGACGGAGGTCAGAAGGATCATAGTCGGAAGGAGACCGAGTAAGAAAGACCATTCTCTAGTGATGGAGGTCGGAAGGACCATAGTAGACGACGAAGGTCTGAAGTACCGTAATCGGCATGAGACCATAGTCAGAAAGACCGTTGTCTTGTGATGGAGATCAGATGGACCATAGTAGGTGACTGAGGTCAGAAGGACCGTAGTCGACAGGAGACCAGGGTCAGAAAGATCGTTGTCTAGCGATGGAGGTCAGCAGTATTCTGAGAGAACTCTGGGCATCAAGTGGTGGCCTGGTGGAGCTCAAGGCCTCAAGTAGTCATCCGACGGAAGTCCATGCCTCAGGTGATGTTTTGATGGAGCACAGGGTCTCAAGTGGTGATCCACCGGAGGTGAGGGCCTCAAGTGGTGATCCGGCGGAGCAACGGTGTCTGGCGGAGGTTCGGTAAAAATCCGGGCCTCAGGTGGTGCTCTGGTGGAGCACAAGGCCTCAAGTGACGGTTCGGTGGAAGTTTGAGCCTTAGGTGGTGGCCTGGTAAAGCGTAGGGCCTCAAGCGGTGGTCCAGCGGAGGTGAGTGCCTCCAGTGGTGGTCTGGCGGAGCAACGATGTCAGGTAGTGGTTCGGCGGAGGTGAGGGCCTCAAGTGGTGGTCCGGCAAAAGTCCAGGGCTCAGGTGGTGGTTTAGCGGAGCAACGGCGTTAGGCGGTGGTCCTGCGGAGGTGAGGGCCACAAGTGGTGGTTCGGCGGAGCACAGGGCGTCAGGTGGTGGTCCGGCGGAGCACAGGGCGTCAGGTGGTGGTCCAGCGGAGCACAAGGCATCATGTGGTGGTCTGGCTGAACAAAAGGCGTCGGGTGGTGGTCCGGCGGAGCATAGGGCGCTAGGTGGTGGTCCGGCAGAAGTCCAGCGGTGGTGGACTAGTGGTGGTTCGACGGAACTCCGGCGGTGTTCGAGGAGGCAAGGAAGCAAGAGCGATCTCCGATATCTTTCTTTTTTCCTTAGGCTAAGTGTCCCCTTTTCATGAGGAGAGGGAGCTCTATTTATAGATTTTGGGAATGGCATGACCCGTAAATAGGTGGAGGATCAAGGGTAAGTTGGGAGTGGTTGGATGGACGACCGATGTTGAATCCTTTGATAATGAACCATTTGATGGACATTTGAATGTCTTAGTGATGTCGGAATTCAGTGATCTTGGGCTCGTTAGATTCGTCTTGTCGAGCCGCTCAATTCGAGTATAAGCTTGTTATGTTTGAAAACCGTTTGATAATCCAACTTTTGGTTCGAACCTTCCAACAGCGATTCGGGTCCTTGATTTGGACCGATTCGGGTTCGGATTGAGTTGAATTTGGTGTTGTTGGGTTCATATTTCCGAGACGCTCAGTTTGACTGTAAGTTTGCTGAAATTGGAGCTTATATGGTTCCAATTTTAATTTTGGAAGTTTCAAACTTGATTTAGCCTTAAGATTCGTGCCCGATCAAGATAATTTTTTGATGACGTATCAATTATATGTGAATGATTATTTTGCAATGAGAAAGCTAAAATTGCTATAGCTTTTTTTTTTCCTAATTTGTGTGAATTATTATTTGAAGTTAATAAATAATTTTTTAAAGAGGTGAAGAAACTCTCCACTTCATACTGCATTAGCATTCCATTAATGTTGAATTCATATTTTTCAGAATCATACTCACATGATTTATAAGGTTTTAGCGAATAAAATCAACAAGAGAGAATAGAGAAAAAATATTCTAGGGAAAAATAGAGAATCTAGAAAGAAAAATTTTAGGATTTGATTAGAATAAATTTGGCTATTCAAAATTGCCTCTTTTTCACTCTTGTCGATACCCAAAATCGCCCACTAAATCTTATTTATGGGATTTTGGATGTTATAGGAAAGACAACATCAAAATAATATATATTTAAAACATATTCTATAGCTTGAGTGTGTGGCTAATTAAAATCATGAGATCGATATACTTGGATGATATCTCATTGAGCTCAGATATCGATAGCAACATTAATGTTTATACAATGTGATAAAAAATAATTTTAAAAATTATTATCAGCATTATAAGTATCATATTCTTTATAAAATTTAATTCTCATCACAATTTTTTTTAAAATATAATTTAAACTGTATGAATAAATAAAATTTTGGCTGATAAAGTTATATAAAATAAAATCAAAAAGTTATTTCCATCTTATATTATTTAATAATTAAGTGATGTTCAAAGAAATACATAATATGCACATTTAAGAATCAATTTAAAAAAAAAAAAAAAAATCCTTAATAACAAAAACTTATATGCGCCTTAACAATTGGGCCATATGTGAAATTCTAAAAATGGCAACCTCGAGCTCATCTTGTTCGATTAGTTGTGAGTTTTGACTTTCAATCAATAAATTAAAAATTATCGTAATCATAATTTCATTAAAAAGATTCTTACTCCATCTAACATCCTATCATCTCTAGTTCTCTGCAAGATGTCTCTTTGGAAGCTATCAGATTCTCTGAAAATCTTTGGACAATTATACTCATTATGCATCAAGCTTTTAGCTATTATATTCTTTATCAAAATCAAAATTAAACAAGAAGCCTTCTCTGTTTAAGGCTTTGTTTGGGACTGCTTTCTAAGCAACTTTTTAGTATTTTTTTATTTTATTTTGTACTAAAAAATTGTTTAAAAAAGCAACTAAAAAATCGTCTCAAACGAAACCTACACCTAGGAGAATTCTCCTCTCATATTCATAAGCAGCCCATCTAACATTTGGTAGATTTCTCCAGCCCTATGATGAATCACACCATAAGCTAGGAACTCATGCACCTCACCATCCATTTCAATCGAACTGCAACCCCTCTCCTTTCTCACCTCCATCTCCCTCATCAGCCCCCTTGCCTTAACTGAACCTCTGAAATTTTTCACCCTTGCAAAGGTGTTCGATAAAATGACATAACCTCCACTGTCCCAAGGATCCAAATCGAGAAGCCTTTTCGTGGCCTCATTACCAATCTCTGGATTTCCATGAACTCTGCAGGATGACAGCAATGAACCCCAAATGACAGAATCAGGCTTTATTGGCATCCTCAGTATCAAATCCTTGGCCTCTTTTACTAGCCCTGCTCGGCCTAGAGCATCAACCAAGCAGCTATAATGCTCGATTGATGACTCCATTTTATACACTTTGGTCATCAATTTGAAAAAGTTGAATGCCTCTTCAACCATCCCTGAATGGCCGCAAGATGTTAGAACACTGATGAAGCTAACATTGTCTGGCCTTTAAACCAGAGGAATTCTGAAGCTTTGTGAATAATTGAATTGCCGCTTTTCCCCGGCTATGAGTGGCTAAGCCAATAATCACTGAGTTCCATGAGGACAAGCTTTTCACAGAAGCAATTTCGAAGACTTCAAGAGCATCATCTATACTTCCAACTGTGATCACTATTGGATTGCTTGAAATCTTCATCTTTTTTATGAAAGAATGAATCCACTTCCCCTGTTTCAATGCTCCCGAGTTAGAGCAAGCACCTAACAAGCTAACCATTATATGTTCATTAGGCTTTAGTCCTCGACTTTGCATTTGGTAAAATAGATCAAAAGCCTCATGGCTTCTCTCATTCCTAACATAGCCAGAGATCATGGAGCTCCAAGTGATCACAGTTCTTGTAGGCATTTCATCAAACAAGCACCGTGAAGAATCTATAAGACCTATTTTAGCAAAACCCAGTATCATAGCATTCCATGGCACAACATCAAAGCTCAAGCAGTTGTTGAATAACTGAGAAGCGGCAGCGACTTGTCCGCAACTTGCGTACATTGCAAGGATTGAATTGTGGATGTATTGATCAGAATTGAGCCCAAGCTTGATGACCATGGCATGTATTGAGATCCCTCATTAGCTAATCCAAGATGCGTATAGGATTTAAAGAGAGAAGGGAAGGTGAGATGATTGGGCTGAGTTGACGAGAGGAGCATTTGTTGGAAGATGGATATGACACGGTTTGGATTGGAAGAATTGGAAAAGACTCTAATGATAGTGTTCCGCATGAAGAGAGTGGGGTTTTAAGTGTGGGTGAAGAGATGAAATGCATAGTTGAGGTCAGGGAAGGGAGAGGTGGTGGTGAAGGAAAGGAGTCTGCTAATGGCTATGGTGTCTCTGGCTAAGCCTTTTTTGATGATTTGGGAATGAAGCTGTTAGATATTTGTTCCTAGATTTAGGTTTACTTTTGTGTTAGTGTCTTGTATGGCAAAATGTATAGCCATTTGTGTTGCTTTGTGTAGCTTTAAGAGTCTATATAAAGGAGTCTTTAGCTTGTAATAGGAAGCCAAGGAAATAAAGAATAGCATAATTTTTTGGCTCACCGCCTCCCCTCTCCTCTCTCCCTCCTCTTTCAAGATTCATGAGGAAGTGCTTCTTCCTCAAGTAAGAGATCTCACATTTGGTATCAGAGCCACGGTGGTGGCGATCTCGAGTGGAGGAGCCGGAGGTGGTTTTCTTGTCTAAGAAAACGAAGGAGGCGGTCGGCGGCTAAGCTCGGAAGTGAGTCTGAGAGCCGGACTCGTGCGGCTCGGAGGCGGACGAGCAAGAATCAGAGAAGCCGGAGGTGTCTTGGCCGCTGTTTTTTGCACGCAAGAAGCCAAAAGTGACTTTGGCACGGGACAGGTCCGATCGGAGATGGCGGTTTGATCGCGTGGGTGAAGGCGGAATCGGGCATGGTGTCCGATCGGGATACAAGAAGGCGGCAGGGATTTTGATGCTGGCTGCCTGGCTCTTGTGCAAGAAGGCTGCGGAGGTGTCTTGAAGCTGGTTGTAGATGGCTTTAGGTATTGATTAATGGTTTTCTGTGAAAATCTTTTGAGATAGAGCCATCGAATCAGCAAGAAGCGAGGCAGGAGGTTCGTTCCAGACAGTTGTTCCATGCTGAGGAGTTGGATGCGGTGGACGTGGGTAGACCTTGTGCTTCTTGATTGCAAGAACAAAGCCTATTGGGTGGTTTTCTGGTGCAGGATGTGGTCGGTGACAAACCACATGAGTGCAAGGCGCGGGCACGGGCTTGTGGCGTTTGGACGCGGGCTGGAGGCGCAGGGCGAGCACTGAGGCGCAAGGTGCTGGTGGATGCACAGGGCGCGGAAGCCGGGCTAGGGGTGCTCGGGGATTGGCTGCGTGGACGCAGTGCGACAGGAGATCTGTCGGGAGGTGGAGTTAGAATGTCGGTGGACGCTTTTGGCGGAGAAGACCGACATGATCATTCTTTGACTGTTTTTTAAAGAACAGTGGTTATCTTTTGTTGTTTTTGTAAAATCTAAGACCAAGGTGGAGATTGTTAGATATTTGTTCCTAGATTTAGGTTTACTTTTGTGTTGGTGTCTTGTATGGCAAAGTGTATAGCCATTTGTGTTGCTTTGTATAGCTTTAGGAGTCTATATAAAGGAGTCTTTAGCTTGTAATAGGAAGCCAAGGAAATAAAGAATAGCATAGTTTTTTGGCTCACCGCCTCCCCTCTCCTCTCTCCCTCCTCCTCCTCCTTCAAGATCCATGAGAAAGTGCTTCTTCCTCAAGGGATCTCACAGAAGCTAATGAAGTTCTTTCATGGAGGAGCATTGAATTTCAAGCATGAATAGAGAAGGATGGTCAGAAATAAATTTGGATATGGAGGGCGAGGAGGAAAGAAGTGGATTGCAGGTGCATAAGAGATGCATATTCTCACTCTGTCTGTCTCTCTCTCTCTCCCTCTGAGATGAGAAATTAGTCAACTGTGTACACTAGGGAAAGGGCTGACTGGCTGAGCTGTGTAATGGATAAGCATGCCTCGCTGTGAAATGAAAAAAACAAATTGTTCAAATGAATTCTTTAGAAATTAGTAAATTTATTTTAAGATTAATATACTACGAATCTTTATCCAATATTAATTTTAAAATGAATTCAACAATTTTAAGTTATTCTTATATAGCTTTTATCAAAATAATTTGAAATAATTTTTATTGGTAAATATTTTTGATGAACCAAATGTTTGATTAATCCTAATATCATTTTTAATCTATAATTACATAATTATAGAAAACTTAAATTAAAAATTATTTTGCAAAAGTGTAGTAAACAATGCTAAATCATAAAAAATTTTAAATATATTTTATGGGATTGATATTTGATTTAAGTTTCTGATTGAAGGTATACCAAACCAATTTACATGTGCATGTTTGTTTGAATTTCCAATTTTAGGGCTATCTTTGAGTGTGAGCTTGAATATTCAAAGAAAGACATTTCAAGTGATCATCGAATTCAAATGCATTAAATACTATGGATGAGAACAACAATTAAGTTTAAGAACAAAATAAAAAATGCATTTGAGTGAAGGTAGATTTGCCAAAAAAATGGAATTAAATAAACAAAATCTTCCATTAGATTCAAGATTAAGGATTCCTATTAGTGGGTTTAATCCTAATATTTGAGATGAAGTTCATAAAACATATTTACAAAAAGGGTTATTTTAATCTTGCAGTCATGATTTTCCTATTAGTAAATTTGGAATGAAAGACAAACGCTTTAATCATATTTGATTTGACAATTATTATGATTGGCTATAATATAACATGTGTAAAGATAAAACATATTGCCTACATTGTTATCTTTTAAGAACATTCAGTAGATATAACAAAGAAGATGTGTCATTTCATAAAAATGAATTTTCAAATTAGAAAAAAAACAAACAAAATTGAGCTTCATGTAGGAAGTTATAATAGTGTGCATATTAATGTTAGACGAAGCTAAAAAGACCTAATGGAATGGAGTCAATATAATGGTTTTGTGTCCCAGAAGCAATTAGATCAAGTTACAATTGCATTACCCGTTTGCAACGGCAGGCTTTGAAAGAGCATTTTCTGCCATAAATATTATTAAAAATCGATTGAGAAATAGAATTGAAGATCAATGACTGAATAATATGTTACTCACTTATATTAAGAAAAATATTTTAGATTGTATTGATAATGAAATAACCATTTAACTCTTTCAGAATATGCAAAGTAGATGATATAAACTATAAGTTGTTTATTTTATTATATTTAATGTTCTACCTTACTAAATAATAAATAAATAAAAAATCTTAAAACTTCTTATGTCGGTCCCAAACCTAAAAAGTTGACCAAACTAAAAAAAAAAAGAATAAAATATTTAAAACTCAAATCTTTCTAACAATAAATTAATTTACACGGTATATAATCAAATAATTTGAAAATGAAACTGAGTAAATAAGAAAAAGCATAACATTGCTTGTATCTGCTTATCTATTCCACTATCTAAATAGCTTAAGATTGCTTAATTAACACTTAAACCTTTCATACTTTAACATATCTTAACTTAACTTAAGCCCCTGCTAATTAAGCTGGCATAAATCTTAATATAAGAAAAAGGATGTTAATCCCATTTCTGATAAATGCTCTCCGACTTTTTAAAATTCTTTATGAATCAAACACAATTATATTGAGAATAATGAGTGAAAAATAACAAAAAAATTGAAAGAGAAAAAAAAAAAACGAGAAGCTCTAAGATTTATAAAAAATGAGCTTAAACACAAAAAATTGTGTAAAATTGACTCAAAGTTATGGCTAAACTACATAAACTAAGCCCACATCCTCGACCCTCTCTATTAATAGATTTCATTTGGGGTTTGAGTAGTGCATAATTGACTACATAAATGACAATAAATAAAGCAAAAAAAGCTATATATAATAATTGTGTAGACTCATATAAATGTTTGAGTTGAAAACAATATTCAGATAGGCCAACTTAAAGAAGCAGTTTGGTTGAACAGTCATGAGTTTGGCTTTATAGTTTGTACTTGTTTGGCCATAGTCAATTTGCTTTAGGTAAGTAGTAAGTTCTCTTATAGACCGGCAAGTCTCCTTTGAGCTGAAATTGAGTAGTCTGAGTTAGCTTTAGCTTGAATTAGACCAATTTGGCTTGAACTTAATCTATGAATATTTGTTTGTAGACTTGCATGTTTTTCAATAGAATGGGCTTTAGAATCCTTGGATTTGCATTGAGATTAATGATTACATATGAAATTATAAATTACACTAATCTCAACATAAATCAATAATCACTTCAAGCCAATTCCGATGCAAAATGCATCACCAAACGAAACTTTAATTATTGAACAATTTGAACTTTTTTTTTTTTTATCACGGAGCTCTATTCCATTTTACTATTTCTTGCTTCAATTTTTAGCTAAATTCTATAAATATATTTTTCTTATCCTTTGAAATTACATATGCATTAATCTTAGGAGGTTGGGACTTGGGATATTTATGCAGTTAGAAGTAGTTTTATAGTTTTAGCTTGTTGTTGTTGGACTCATGCTATGAAAAATTGGACCACAACAGAAAACATAACATAATATTATTAAAATTTAGGGGATAAAAAAAAAAAGAATACTAGTTGCCATATATCAACAGCCATTCATAATGAGAACAACTCTTCGTAACTAATTGAATAATTATTAACTAAAGAATTATAAAAATCATCTAATTTATTCTATTTTATAGTTTTACCATCAACATTTAAAAATAAAAAATAATAATAATAATGATATTTTCATCACTGTTTGATAATATTTTTAATGAAAATATCATAATTTTGACTGCGTATTAATTTGTCTTGTTTATTATCACTTGATTTATTAAATTTATTAATTAATATGATGTATTCTATGAGAAATATTCAAATTATTATTAAAATTGAAAATTTAATAAAGTTTTATTATTTGTTTAATATCAATGTAAAACTTTTAGAATGTTTACTCTATCAAATAATTGTTCAGCATTTGTAAAACAAAATGAACAATGAGAGAGGTTGGTCATTAAGGGTTGGAAGCGCTGAAATAAAAAGAATCTCAAGATAAAAATCCGACCGTTCAAAACTCTTCGTACCATCGTCAGATACTATGGGGATCGAAAGATTCTTTTAGCCTCTTCTGTGCAGCGTACAGTGTACGGCGTAGCTGCGAGCCAAGGGACGCGCCTTCTGTGTAATTTCTTCTGTGGAATCCAATGAAGTAATGTACCTCAAAAGAGGGATTTTTTTTTTAAAACATTTAATCCATTGAGGCAGATTCTTGAGCATCTTATGCACAAGAATCAAATTCAAGAACTATTAGTTAATAGACTAAGCTCCCAACCAATATGTCAAGGCACACAGTTCATCATGGCCTATCGATTGAGAGCTTAGACTATCAACTAAAAGGTATTGAATTCAAGTCTTTGTGTATGTGATGTGTGCGTGAGTTTATCATAATTGGCCTAAATGTCAAAAAAAAAAAAAAAACCAAGGTGAGTTGTAGGAAAAATTATTATGTGTGGTCACCGGACAACATCAGGAGGCAAATAAGAGAGCGCCACATTATGATTTGCCTTCGGACGATCTGATGATCGCACATAGTAATTTCTCTCAAAGGAGACATTAAGGTGTAAAATCAGCTGTAAAATATGTTAACTTTATTTATTTATTTCTTTAACATTAATAATATGATGTATACAAGTAAAAAGTGTTAGCAATAGTAAAAACACAATAGTTATATTTATATTTAAAATCTAAATTTGAAGTTACTAAATATAAAAAATGCGCTCAAAGCACCAGAGCACCAGGCTAAACACTTAAGAAAGACTCCAAATGAGAATGCAAAGAACCTTCCAAAGACCCTAAGCAAGAATAGTTCCAGAGAAGAAAGCAACATTCCAACTTCCAAGTTCCAAACCCATCAGCGAATCAAAATTATTAAGTTTGGTCAATAACAGTCATAGATTGCCCCACTATGATCAAAACATATACTATTTGGTGAAAATCAATTGCATCTAAAATCGCCCCATTATGATCCTTCATATCTCTATCACTTGCTGACTCAGTCCCTCTGTGCTCTGCCGCC